GACACATCTGTGCAGGGTATCCCTACCTGTCAAGAGCCAGTGTGTTTCCTCTAACCACTGCTCTGCTGAGACACTTGTATTCACATCTTCCACTCTCACCTTGTTGAAAACAGTTGGCAAACAGCTAAAACAGGCTATTGTCAGATCATCCTTAGGCTTGCCAACTGGCAATAGCAGGAGGTGGTAAGCCCTGTGCAGCTGTGGTTTGAGAAAGTGGAAGTGGGGGGTGGGACATGGATACTGAATGAGGATTCAGATCTTGAAAACAGCCCTGTTTTTAGTGAAGGTGGTCATTGCATTAATTGACTTTTCTGGTGTTCTTACAGGATACTGTCATTTATACTATTTACTCGTGTCACTTCACCCACTTTCCCATCAGTTTTTGCACAAGACAGACTCCAGACCACTTGCTTGCATTAGATACTGGTACATAGGTGGTACCTGTTTTTTTATAACTTACGTTTTCCAACTCCATATTTGACTCACGCAGGCATAGAAACACTATTTTCTTAGAAGAATATTTGGGAACTCATTATTTGTCCTGTTAAAAAGTTCTCTTCATCTACTCATGCATGCTGTAAGATGTCAGATTTTTCCCATTCTTTTCCTGCAGAAAAGACAAGCTGAGAAGTGGAATCTGAAACAATTAGGTATAGATTTATGTGCTGAATATATCTGACACACATGTTAAAACAGTAGGGAGGGGAAAGAACCAGATACCCACCAGAGATAAAGATTTATTGCCCTCTTAAGACTGTGTGTTGCTTTTCTCCCTTCTTCTGGGGAATTACGTTGGTTGGTACTCCCCGAAAAATACTGAGGAATTAATCCTTCTGTGAAATCACAGATAATAACAAACCAGATGGATTTCTGGTGCTTACAAAGTGCCTTGTTAGTGTTAACTCCAGCAAGTGAGGCAATACTTTAAAGGACTTGACAAAGAACGACGAATGTTTCTCCTTAAGCTACTTAGGAGTCAGTCCTGTGTTAAATTCTTCTCAGTGGCTGGTCTTTGGCCATAATCAACACACAGATAAGATCGAGAATTTATTTTCTGGTTTTTATTTTGGGTTTGAAAAACAGCATTTACTTCTGCCTTAATTTTTTTAGTCAATTGTGTAATCCAAAATAGAAAGCAGGGGCAAGTCTGAATGCAGCAATACAGAATAATGCTGTGGAATTTCTTGTGATGTGTTTTCAAGAGGAAGAGCATCTGGTATCAAAAGTTCTGGTGTGGAAAGTTTCTGTTAATGGTGTTTTGTGTGTTTAGTCAGCACAGGAAGACTTTGAAGGTTTTAAATATCTCTAAAAATGTTTGTGTGTGCCTGTGTGTCTCTGTGTCTGATTCTCTAACTTGTCTGTCTAGCCTGTATATTATATTTAGTATCCAGCTGCAGCTGGGTATCATAGTACTTTAAACCAAAGAGTCAGCATTACCAGTTTTCCTGCCTTCTCAGAAGAGTCAATCAACAGCAAGTTGTCATTTCCCATGTTTGGGAATTACGGTTGTGTGCTTTTAATTGATAGTTATTACTCAGGAACATGCCTTTACACCTTGCCATATTCAGTGAAGTTTCAGAGAAGCGCAAAGTTGCAATGACTCCGGAAACACTGAAGAAGACTCAGCTTTTGAGTTTGTGTTGAAGGCAGTGCTCACTTAATGGCTGTATACCACCAGAATAAATAAGGAGCCAGATCTTTGATGAGATTTGAGGGGGACTTCTCCTCTGAGTTAAGCAGAGTGGAGCTATATATCAAGTTTCCTTGTGCTCATCAGTGAGGGGTTTTCCATCAGGCTCTGTAAAGAGCAGATGATTAGTTTGTAAAGGTAAGCATCCCAGAAGGAGTGTTTGGCAAGTAGGAGAGGTTTGCTCTGTTAAAAGCTCAACAGTAGGCTCTGCAACACACCGCATGCCTTGATGGCTGAGGTGGGTATGACTGTTCCTCTCATTCTCACCAACATTTTAAGTAAGCTAACTTTTTCTTTGCCTCCTTCATGATTTTATCTGTCTCTTGGAGAAACCATTTCCTATTTGGTTTTCTTCCCTATTGTAACAAACAACTGGAAGTAGATCACTCTTGCAAAATATGTACCAGGTCATTGTTTTAAGGATCATGTGGGTTTTGTTTGCTTGCTTGTTTGTTTGTTGTTTGTTTAAAAAAAGCACATCCATTTCATTGTCATGGCTGAAATAGTAAAAGCTTAAGCAAATATATGCAGGAATGCAATGTGACTGTATGTCTGTACTTCCTGTGTCCTTCATTTAGCAATAATAATATAGGTCAACACAGAGAAAGTTTCTAAGTCGGAGACGATGGTGTTTTGTAAGTTTCCAAAGCCAAGCGGGTGTTGAAACAGAAGGCTGGTTAAGTAGAAGCAGGGAGAAGACTGCAGAGCCATTAGCCAGAAACGTTCTCCTGACAGGATGCGTGGAATAGGATGTAGTGATTGTAAGGGACCGTGAATATAACTGTACAACCAAACAAAAACCCAGACATGAAGGGAGGGAGAGGCTTCGGGAGAGTTTGTATGACTGTAAAAAAATAAATTCTGACTCTACAGAAAAGTTAGGAATGGCATGGTAGGTCCATGCTTCATAACTCTCAAGCTGTGAAGCATTCACAGCTGCGTATAGCTGAAACATGGCAAGCTCATTTAAAGCCATCTAGTTACATCTTGGGCATAAATTACCTAGGCTTTTATTCTTTCCTTTGCCTAGACACACTTATGAATGCCTGAACTCCTGTCTCTGATGCTATTTTTTTCTTTGAGGTAAGAATGGAGACCCATTTTGCCTGTAGAATATGTTGTTTATGATGTTTTTATTATTCCGTCAGGAAGCAGTTTGCCTCCCACTGCTCCTGAAGGAGGATGGCCAATTTTACAACTCCAGTAGTGTCCACATTACCCTCTTTACTCCTTTTCTAACAGGATAAGATGCTATTGTCTTCAAGTGTCTGTTCAGCAGCAGATGGAGAAAGAAGTGAATCATAGAATCATAGAATAGTTAAGTGGTGGTGTTTTACCTCACAGATCAGCTGTGGTTATTGATAGTATAATATGGATGTGCAGGCCACTGCAAAGATTGATGCTGCTTGAAGCAGCATTAGCACCTAATTAATCTTCAGATAAGGGAGATACAGGAATAATTTAAAACTGGGAAGAAATCACAGACTTTGGCAACAAGTGCTCTTTTCCTGAGCATGTTTCATCTCCTTTCTACTAGCAGCAGATATTTGCAGAGGAAGGCACTGAACAGCCTCCACAAGGCATGTGTCCCTGCAGCCCGTACAAAAGCCTAGCAGCACAAGCCTGGCAGCACATGCAGAGGCAGCTCGGAGCGCAGATGCTGGGGAGTGGCCAGGGCTGCAACAGGGCATCCTCAGATGGTAAAATCAGCTTTGGAAACAGTGTCAGGCCCTCTCAATAACACTTCTGCATGGTGTCAAACCATACCAGGGCTTGTGGAACTGACCGGCCCTCCCTGGGAATTGCTTCCTGTCAGACTGAGTGCTGCTGGGTTTTTCCAGCTTCTAGGTGCCTACTTTGGTCAGACCTAGTTATCATGGTGTTTATGTATTTGTAAATTGTATTTTGGTCTTTACTTCCTATTATAGTTGCTCTTTATGATCCTTCAAAGAAAGAAAAGGGAGAGGCATTTTGTATCTCCTTACGTATAAAACATTAGAAAGCTGTCCAGCAGTGTGCTGAATTATATCAAGTTATGCTTCTGGTGTTTGTTGCTCTAAAGAAGTAAGCCTAACTGCAGATGTTTAAAACAAAAATTAAACACCTCAAGCCCCAAAAATATTTAAGGAAAAAATGGACAGATTTTTCCATGAACATTCACCTTTGTCACCTTTAATAAGTCAGAAGAGAAGCAAGTACTAGTTCAGATCACTGTATGGATCATTGTGAAGATCACACCTTACTGTGTAAATAACTGTACTAATTACCATTGTCTTTATAACAGCTGCCAATGACATTATTCCATTCTGTTACGTGCATGGCAGCAAAGTAATAAGTGATGCAAGACAGTTTATGGTTCTACAAGAAATGAAAACTAAAGCTCTGGAAGGGGAAAAAAGTCCTACAGTTCTGCATGGGAGAACAGAGATAAGAGTTACAAGACTGTCAGAAAGCTGTTTGCATTAGATGTTAGTGATCTTATGACAAACTATTGGAGCCAGCTGAGAAGATTTTCAAAAACTTCTCATAACTTGGTAAATCTAAATAGATTCTCCAAGGGAAGTGCTGTATGGTGTCAATATGAAAGAGGACCTAAATGGAAAACCTGCACAACTACGGTGACCCTTATATGTGGCAGCCTTCAGCCTTGGCAGCAAACAGCACACATTTCTGCCATGTATGTGGATGGCTACTGGACAGATCATCTGATATTTCTTTCCAGAAAATCTGATGACACACAGGGAGGGTTTCATAGAATGAGGTATTTACTGGAGAGTTTATGTCAAAGTGCCCTTAAATCAGATTAGAAAAAAAGCCTGTATGGATCCCAAACTGCAGTTCCTAATGAACTCTGTGAATGCTCCAAGACCCCATGCTTCAGCTCTGGTCAAGTCTTCAAGAAAATTTGTGTCCATGTGCCCTTTGTGTCCACGTGTAGGCAGAAGTAACTAGGCCAAGAATGTATCTCCATGTTTCCTCTTGGCCACAGCTTCAGTGACAATGATTGAAATCCTTTTTCTTACATTAAATTGAAAGGTTTCTTGCTTTTGCAGGTGAATAATTTCTTTCTTGTGGGATGCAGCACTATTTACCTCGAGAATTAGTAGGGTATTAAAGCTGATAAAAATGACAAAATGGTGCATGCTAATTGACAGTTATGTTCATTGTCCTTGAATGTGACAGAGGGGACAGAACCACAGTGGTACATAAAACCAAGAGCAGAGATGCAGAAATACTAACTAGGAAGATGTGTGTGCAGGTTTTACAACAAATGCTGTTTGCTTTTTAATCCCTCCCTCTTGTTTTACAGAAAGAGATGACAACCAGGATGTGTCACTAAAAAGCTATCCACTGAAGAAAAGCGAAGTCCAGTTTCTTTCTTACTGCAGAGTTCAAGAATGTGACAGCCCTTGTGGACTGAGCCTGCTTGTTAATCCATGAAAGCACAAAAGATGGGAACCACAGTTAATTTCATGAATGCTTTCCACCACTTTCAGTGTTCTTAGCCCTGCATATGCTGCTAGGAACCTCATCTGAACAACATGGATTATTGAGAAAAAGAATAATCAATTTCATATTAGGTCTAGCTTCTTCATTAGGGATAAGAACCTCTTCAGCCACAAATGATGGCAGACTGTGCTCCTGCTGCTAAAGCTTTACTGAAATTCAGGTCAGGTCCCTGGGCTGACCTCCAGATTAGTTGTTTAGAAATGAAACTGTATTGTTAGCTGCAGTGTTGTTTTCTTTTTGTTTCTTGGTATGTGCTTTGTTTCCCAAGTGCAGCAGAATATTAAGATGATCTCAAATTAATCTGGAATCACAGAAGACGGCTAGCCTTTAATGCCCCCCCCGGCCACCAAGGCTTGGCCATTGTTCCCAAATGCCAGCGATCCTTGTGTTTCCAGGAACACAGCCGTATTCTTCAGCTGATCAGGCAGTTTGTGCTTCATTGTGACTCTGAACTGAGTGATGGGGGACAGTTTCTGGTCTCAATTACATGAGTAGAAATCCAGATCAAGCTCTGCAGTGTTGAAATCTGTTCTTTGAATTCATTCTGTGACTGACAGCAAATCAGGTCCGTATCTTTGCTGTACTCAGCATTTTCCTGAAGTACCTGATGAAGTACAGCGATGTGATTTGATGTCCTCCCGTCCTCTTAGAAAAAGGATCTCTCTCATTCACCTTAAAGTTTCATCTTTTCAGGGAAAAACAAACTTAATTTTACTTACTGTTTTTAAATATAGTTACTTCCTGGAAGGAAGGTAGAGTGAAGACATGTAACATAAAATTTGGAGTGGGAGGGACTAAGTGAACGTCTCTGTTGCGTCCGAACAGTGTCCAGCAGTGTGGCTTGCTTTCCACACAAGATTTTTTTGCAGTACTCAGGCCAACTTAACTAGTTCATGTATGTACAGCCTGGAAGCATACATTGCAGTAAATCAAGTCTTCTATGCCAAATACGCCCTGATAAGAGGCTTTCTTCTAAAAAACAAGAAAGAAGAAAAAAAGGATATTAAAGCAATATTTCACAGAGAGATCACAAGAGACTTACAGCTGAGTACATGGAGTCAAGTGGAACACACATATATTTTGTGCCTTCTAATGAATTTTGCACACTTGTGTTATTGTGAAAGATTATTCCTTCCTGAGTAAGTGCTGAACTCTGTTGCTGCCTTCTTCTCAAGTGAGTTAGGTATGTTTACATCTTCTGAGACAGTATCAGAAGCAAATCTCACAGATCATGGAAGGGGTAGCATGCACTAAAGAGTAACAGCAGTTTCAAGCTCATATTGTGGTACATTCTGATTTGCTTGCCTGCTTGCTTAAATTGAGGGTTGTAAATGTTAGTGATTGTCCTTTCCACGACAAAGGGCTTTTATTTGTGAACGTTCAGTGTAGCTAGAGTGAAGGCTTTTCTGCATCTTTAAATTATGCAAGCAGCATTATCCTTTGCTTTCAAGGGGATGGACTGAAGTGTTCCTACCTCCTTTGGTGGTCTTTGCAATTGAGTTAATTCTCTGGGGATTGGAATGTGCACACAGATAACTTCTGGCCTGCTGGCACTTTTGCAGGATATAACTAGCTTGTGGAATTCGATGCCACAGCTGCTGCCAAGCTTAGTTGCCTGATTTTAAAGATGAGAAATGTTACATCTGTGGAAGAACGTACATGGTACAGGTGGATGACGGCTGCCTGGAATTACAGCATTAATTGCATACAAAAAGGTTTCTTGCACCCCTCCGAAGTGCCTGGGCTGTTGCACTGTTGGTGATGGAACTGTAGCTGGTGCTACAGCTCTTGAATTTCAGTGTGGTCAGTTGCCATCTGCTGTTATTGTGGCTGGGCAATACTGCAGTGCTGTATTTTAAAGATTAACACAAACATGCAAATGTGTGAAATTTTGTTCATAAAGATCAAAGTCACTACGTAAATTGAAAATCATGGTATTACATGTATAAAATACCTTCATTTTATTATGCTACTTACCACATGCTGTTTTGAGTCTATTCACTGTAGCTATCTGAAGATGAATTTGTTCCCAGTTACTTTGGACTGTATTTTAATAACTTTTTTGTGAATGTATTGATCTTGTGAATGCAAAACTTACCTGTTGGACTATTTTCCTTCTTCTGAAACTGCTTGTCATAAACTCTTGTGTTTCCTTTTCTAGTACAGCACACTGTATCAGGCAAAGGGGAGGAATGCAGAGTTTACACTAGAGGATTTGTGTTTGACCTGGCCAAAATTCCTGTAGTTAGAAAAGCCTATTATAACCCAGGAGCTGAACCAGCCACAAAGAAGTGCAAAATGTACTTGCTCTGGTTGTTTATTCCTCTGGGGAGAAGAGTGAGGTTGCTAGGTGATATGAAATAAATTTCCTCTGAATGGTAGAGTTTGGCCTTTGGCTAAATATGCCTCCGGACAGGTGCACTTGCTTCCACGGCAGAGGTGTTCAGCCAGAGCCAGCCTATCTCATGCTGTGAGCCATTTCTCTTTTCCTGTGCCTGGTATGTGATATGCAAATAAAAATAATGTCTGGAATGTGGCATCACTATGTGAAAGTATATTTCCCTTCCCATAGAGGACAGAGGTACAGCATCCTACTGGATCTCATGCTCAAGGATTCCAGCTGCATCAGTAGTTGGCTCTGCGCCACATCTGGACAGAATTTTGTTTTGGTTGTTAATTGCAGGTCCTGATTTCTGTGATTCCTCAGGATATGTAATGAGAACTGACTTTAAACATGATTGTGTACAGAGGCACCATTTTCACCCACTGAGAAAAACTTTCTACCTGATCTTACCAATTATATATGTTCCTAATCATTCCATATGATTTGTTATTTTGGTTTGGTTTGGGTTTATTCACCTTTCTACTCTTTCAATCAGGTCTTGGTTTTCTTGCCTAAAAACCAATTATTTTACTCTTGTACTTCTCTTAAGACAGGCTGTTAGTGTTAAGCTTCAAGGCACTGTAAGAGGGATTACTTCAGCTGACTGAGACCACAGCTTTACTTCAGAGTGTGAAGGGTTCCTGTGATACCAAATTGCCTTCAGTGGTTAAAGACTTAATAGCTTTCATTGATTGTCTCTGTAATAAGGTGTTTTGTAGTGAACTTCTGCTTTATATCAACATAGACTAGTGTCACAGTAGTGATAAATGCAACATGAAATAAATCTAAATGTCACCTCCCTTTCAGTGTTAGGAAGGATGGAGTTCCAGGGTCTATCAAAGGGGCTTTTTTCACTGATACTCAGCAGTAAAATTGATATTCTCCATCAGATTTGAGAGCACTTTGGTACTTAAAAAACAGGAGTTTTCTCGAAAACCTCAAGCTTAAGCAGCAAAATGTGCACCAGACAAGATACTTGACTCTCCTGACCAATAGATTCATTAAGAACAAGGTAGGGAAAGAGAAATTGATGTGTAACTCTGTGAGGACCTATGGAAAACTGCTCAAGACGTGTAGAAACCGAAGGGGTAAACACTGTACCAGTGATCAGGTGTGAAATAATTCCTGGCACAATGTGGAAAGGACACAGAGAAGAGTACCCTTTCTAGTCAGGGAGCTGCTATTACCAAGGCGCTACTAACAATAGACTAGGAGGATCTTTCAGCACCTTTGTATTTTGGGTTGAATAAATTATACGTCCTGGAGCCTTCTCACAAAAAGCGGTTCCTTTCTTTACCTTTTCACCATGTGCTTCAGGTTTCTCACATTTTCAGGGAATGGGGTCTCAGAGGTGGCCTTCTGCCTTTTAATTTTCTTTTTGCATCCCCAAGGACAATGTTGTTACAAAACGCAGCTTTCTCACCTCTCTGTGCCTCCAGAAAGGATACCTCTCACCTGTGCCCTCCGAAGAGAGACCAACAAGGACTGGGTTTGCATTGTGTCCTCAGAAGAGCAGAAGCAGAGAGCAGGAGGTACCTGCCAGCCCTGCAAAACAGGATGCCCTGTGTCTAAAAAAGATACATGCTTGCTATCACATAATATGATTTAACTGCTTTAGAGAGGGGATAACACTGGGGGATGTGGTATAGACAAGCGGTCAGTGTTTAGGCATTTTTTCCTATGTATTTTAAGAAATTAAATACTTTTAAAAATATCAATGAAGAATATTCCAAGGGCAAATAAGCCAAATCAGTAGTAAGAACCTGGTAGTTGTATACATTTAAGTCTGAAATTATCAAACTTGATTTTTCATGTATTTCAAGCTCAGTAGAGGGTGTTTTGTGTTTTTCAGGGTTTAGCCAAATAAGTTTGAGCTATTAAAGTAGTTGTTTCTTTTCTGGTTCAATAAGTTTTCCTGTTCAAAAGACAGATGTAATGTAGAGCTATAATAATATCCTCCCAGGAAAAAAAATAAATACTTGTCCATCCTAATACATGTGCGTGCTTTTATGTGTGTGCACATATGTATGTGTATGTTTGGGTGGGGATATGCATGTGGAAGTCTGTGTGTGCATATGTACAGTGTGTACATATGTACACTCCTTGCTCTCCCTCACAGAATACACTTTTTCATTTTGATAGTTTTTAGTGGGGATAAGTCTTTCTAAGAATAAAGTGTTTGATTCCTTTTACGTGATTCTCCAGTGCATCAGCGCTGTTTGGAATGTCTGGTATGCCTTAGGCTCTTTTAGTTCTGTTCATTATTTAATGACAGTTCAGCTGTATGGGAAGAGAAACTGATGCTAACTATTGTGGTCATTAAGAGTACTTTTCAAATCAGTCTTAGTAAATGAAGCAATGAAATCCAAATATGAATAAAAGAAACTTAACCCTGCAGAAGTGTTGTGAAGTTGTTTGGCGTCTAACTCTTCAGCAAGAAAAACACTTGTGGTTTTCATACCATGGGGTGGAATTTCCTGGCAGGCTCACAGGATTTAGGACCATCACTGCCAATGCACCAATTTCCTCACAGCCCTCCTGGCACCAGTGTGGCAGCAAGAAAAATAAGCCAACTGTCATGCTAATAGAAACTGTCCATCTTTTCACAGACACCAGTGGGATTGGGCTAGCTGCACATAGCCTTTCTCTAGCTACGCTGAAGACCCTGCCAGGTCTTCCCTGACAGTTTTTCAGACTTTAGCAACATGTTCTTCAGCTAATTCCTGATGGGACACTCCAAGACAAGAAGGACATATAAATAGCACCAAGCCAGTTCAGGGTAAAGTTTCATCTCCTAAAACTAAAGAGCCTTAGTTAGAATTTGGCTGTGGCAGAAGGAAACGATTGGTCCAATAGAGCAACAGAAACTTATCTCCAGCATATGGACTTATAGCTGTCTTGTATGGACTGTTTTCTTTGCCTTTGGCTTGATTCCTAAAACATACATAACCATATGTGTATATTCATTATT